ACCCTCTGGGGTTGATTTACTAACCTCATAAACACACCACGAACATGTATACACCTCTGTAGTGTGTTCCCTCCCAGCATGATCTATGGGTGGAATCTAAACACCTTTGTAGTGTGTACACACCCAGCAGGTGTGTTGTGCAAAGCCAAGCATGAATTTGCAAGGTGATGTTGTGTAAATTAGCTCTATGTTGTGTTGCTTGCGTTGATGAATGCAGGAATGTAAATGCATGAGCTAACCATTTTTGTCTAAACTGTGAAGCAGCATTATATATGCATTATGTGCATGATTTTTCCATATATGGCATTAGTGGAAATATGCTTTTAGAGACTTTTTGGTTGTTAAATATGTTTTGCTGTGTAAAAATCACATGCACCTAGTGCGTGCATGTGTTTAGGTTAGTAAATCACCCCCTCTATGTCTGTTTTAAGCACAAGGGTCATCTGAAACCCGAGTCTGCTAATCAACATGTGTTTTTATGTATCTAATTATACTGTCTGCCCTACATCGTCTTGTAAAGCTGACAAACCTCTCAGCAGGGAGAGGACTTTGCAGAGATAGCTTAACAATGTGAAAATCTGTTTTTCTACCTAATTATAACCCTACATGAACACATCAGGCTTTTTAGTATACCCAACTTATAGTTCACAGATGGCCATCCCATAGTCAAAGCTACCGGTGGACCATCACCGGTCACAGATGTGGCCTTTAGATAAATGATTTTACAAACGTTTTTGTTTTTTTTACCATTCAGGATATATAGAAGGGCATTCAGTATTACACTGTTTTATCAATGGCTTTAGGAGGAACTGCCCCCTTTAAAATCCCTTATATGTCAATCGGTCTGTCCCAGCATTTGACATTTTGTAAAGTATTTTGTAAGTAAAAAATGTAATTTTCATAGCTAACTCATCCTAAGCACCACTCACCTGACTCTCAGGGAACACATGGACTTTTGTAGTTTAGGACAACCAACTCATTTACCTCTGTTCTACAATGGTCTTCCTTCTAACCTCCGTTACCCCTCCAGCAAGCCGCCTCCTCACCTGTCTGGCAATTCATGGGCACCCCCTCCCCCCCTACCCACTGAGACATACCTTTTCCCTTACATCTCCCCTGTCTCTTGATTTGTTTCATGGGGCCCTCCAAAATACCCAGCAATTTCAGGTATGGGGGAGTATGTGGCCTTCTCTCCTCACCCTCAATATGTGGTGCTTGGGCTTGAGTGGTCACTATCATGTGGAGGACAGAGGGCTTAGACCAGGTATCAGACACAGTGAATTATTTTTGCTCCTGGTGACTGAACAGAGTGGGGGAGCAAGGGAAAGGTAAGTATATGGGAGTAGGGGTGTGGTATTAAAGTGAACCTGTACTTTCCCTTGCATAGGCAAAGGACAGGTTTACTTTAACAAAGAACCTTAGTCTTTTTATATTTTTATACATGTGAACATAATCAGCTTAATGCTGAATCCCAGGCATATATAACAGTTTAATCCGAATATGAATTCTTTAGAAATTACTACATGTATTTTAAATATTTTAGTATAAGGATTTGAATCTGTGGGGGTGATTTACTAACCTAAACACACGCACGCACCAGGTGCGTGTGATTTTTACACAGCAAAGCGTATTTATCAACCAAAAAGTCTCTAAAAGCATATTTCCACTAATGCCATATATGGAAAAATCATGCACATGATGCATATATAATGCTGCTTCACAGTTTAGACAAAAATGGTTAGCTCATGCATTTACATTCCTGCATTCATCAACGCAAGCAGCACAATGTAGAGCTAATTTACACAACATCACCTTGCAATTCAGGGCAGGGCTTTGCACAACACACCTGCTGGGTGTGTACACACTACAAAGGTGTATAGATTCCACCCATAGATCATGCTGGGAGGGAACACACTACAGAGGTGTATACATGTTCGTGGTGTGTTTATAAGGTTAGTAAATCAACCCCTGTATGTTAGATTCCATAAGGACCCCTGCACAGCAGGACTCAAACTGAAAAAGGATGTGCCAGCACTGTGAGTCAGTCAGGCATGGCTGTATTGTACGCTGTCGGTCTAACACTGGGAACCTTCCAGCAGAGAAGCAGGGCTGTTTTTACCACAGGGCAAAAGGGGCAACTGCCCTGGGCCCCATCATTTACAGGGGCCAACAGCAGCTGTCCCTATTGCCCCAGAGCAGTAGCCAGAGAAGGAGCAGCATGGACAATAGGGAGATCAAAGATCTCCATCACCGGCTAGCCCATTCTCCTGTAAGAGGGCTGATGGGTGATCTCCCCTGCAGGCATGGCAACCCAGCTTGCGGTATACTTTCCTGTCAGCTCCATGGCAGCACACGAATGGGGGAGGAGGGAGGGATTAACCCATTCGTGTGCTGCCATTACAAATTACGGTAAGTATAAAATACAATTTTCCTGTTTTGTTTCAAGTTTATCCCTTCCTTCTTGTTACTGTAGTTTACCTAAGCTGATTCGGCTCTGTCTAATTACTATAGCACTGCGGAACTGGTGGCATACCGCACGCCGTGGAGGGGGGGGGGGTAGTAGGTGCAGTATGCAGTATGGAATAATACAATTCTAAATAATCATGTTGAAGTCACTGTTCGTACAAAGTCTTTAAATTTGGATTTCCTTTATCATGCAGAAACAAACAAACCAAAGCCCTGGGGAAACAGTTTGTGTGCCAGCTATGTATTTCCATTGCTAAATTCTGAGCTTGACTGTGATCGACCTTCAAAGTCGAACTCCATGCAAACAGCTAAATACACAGATGAAATACATACAAGGGAACTGTTTTGTCTAAAGTATAAGTATGTATGTCCATACAGTCCTGAGATATGCACTGCCACACACAGGGATATCCCTATAATGAGGCAGCCTGAGGCGGTTGTCCCAGACGGCATCCCTTAGGGTCACGTAGGAAGTGGGGGGCGGCAGGTGTGCTTGCCACCCCTTCCCAGTCAGAGTGTATTAGGTTCCTAAGAGCTCTTATCAATCTGTGACAGTCTGGCTGTACGGAGTCCTGCCTAGCCCCTGGCAACTAGTGACCTCAGTGAGCTGGGCAGAATTCTGGAGGGAGGTAATGTGCACCACTAGAACCCCCCCCCCCCTTCCTGGTACCATGCATAGTGCATCACTAGCACACTCGCTTCCCTCCCAAGTATAAAGTGCACCACAAGCACACCCCACCACCCCCAATTCCCCCCTTCCGGTAACGTGCATGCCAAGCAACCCATTCACCCCCTCATGTCAGGTAGCAAAAAGTGTAGAAACACCCCTGGCCCCAAAGAACAGCCAAGCGAGTGACACTTTCTCGTTTACAGTGATAGACTGTAGAAGAGATACAGTGGGGGAAATGTATCAAAAATGGAGAAGACAGAATCTGGAGCAGTTGCCTATAGTAACCAATCAGCATCTCCCTTCAATTTGATCAGTAAAGATTTGAAAATGAGAGATAGGAGCTGATTGGTAGCAATGCAAATCTGCTCCAGATTCTGTCTGCTCCAGTTTTGATAAATTCCCTCCAATGTGTCCTCTCTCTACTCCCAACCTAGTCTCTGCTCACTCTGCTCTCTACTCCTATTAGTATGTATGTTATATGCGCATGCATGGACAGGGAACATACAAGACACCTGATTGGCTCCCAGCCGGGCCCTGCCTTTCCCAGCTGAGTGCTGCTGTATAGAGGCTGAGACCAAGTCAAATTCAGGCACTTACATTAGTGGTATTTAAAAAAACAACAATAATTTATTGAGAAATAGTTATCTGCTTTCATTTGTGTCTCTTATATCTGTCTGGAGCTTTCATTTTTCTTTTATTAGTCAGCAACTAAAAATACTGCCGCTTTATAGTACCAGTAAAAGAGACATGGAAACCTGCAAAGAATCATTTACTCAAGGTCATGTTTTTACACCTCACAATACTGATGTGTAAACAGGAGATGCAATAGCTGCTGTCTTTTCTGTACTATAGTGTGAGTGGAGCTATCATCTCAGCCAGCTACAAAATAGAAGGATGAAAGCTTGTTCGTGTGCCTGCGTCTATAGACCAGCACTCTGCATTGAGAAGGTTTTCTTTTATTCAGTGCTGTACAAAGGATGACATGAAACATAATTTAGCTGGAAAAAGTATAATTTCACCTGCTTTGCTCTAAATTATTGTCAAGTGGTGTGCTCTGTAGCTCCTGCCTTGCTAGGCAGAATTCCAGACAAAAACAAGATAAAAGTGAACAACCCATTAAGAAGATAAAATAGAACCAGCTTTTGCTGCAATATTTACCTTCAATCTAGAGATTTCCCCCACAGTCCCTTTTTTCTGCTGCTAGGTGACCTCTGCTGCATTATTCAACCCACTTCCCCTGAGGTCAGGCCATTCTGGACTTGCCCCAGCCTGTGACTGGGCAGCGAAAGGAGAAGAAGCTCAGTGAACAGCTCATCTCTGGGTCAACCCTAATGGAACCCTGGAATCAATACAATTCTGCAAGTGAAGCCTGCATTATACTGGGAACAATTTTACCTCCTAACTTAATAATCCTCTAAACCTAATGAGTCCGCCATTCCGACCGAAGCAACCGAGCTCTGATGAAGGAGGAAATTAGACCCTGAAATGTAATTAATATTTCTGTAGTCGAAAACCATTCATGTGGCGCTCCTACTTCTCTTACACCATCTGGTCTCCTTTCGTGGTACACATTTGAGGCCCTTCCATGTTAGACAGATGCTGAACCAGAATCATAGCACTCCATATAACAGAATCCACTCCACCCTGTGTAACAGAATTGCATTTAAATCAAGTGTCTCTGTCCTTCGAAGAACTTCAAAAACATTTGTCTGGATTTATCATTTAAAATTCTAGAGTCTGTTGAAAATGGTTAAAAGAAGTTTAGGTGTCAACAATTATTTTCATCCCCATAACATCCCATTCCTATTCATTGTCACAATACTCCCTTCCGCCAAGCACCAGAGTTGGCAAACAGTTCTCTTACCAGGCTGTAGAAGTCTGAAAGGACATCATTGTTGGGCTAACAGTGTCTCCTTTTAATGTGTGTACAGCATGTGACATCTGAGTCTGTGCTTGGCAAGGCTCTTGTGTCGTCTTGCTCCACTGCCTCTGTCCTTGCCTCATCCATTTGGCTTGGATCCCCCACCTTGCCAGGTACAACTTGCAAATCTCATAGTTCATTGCAGAATAATACAACAGATCCAGGACCAGCAGGACCACCACGAAAAATCCATAAACCCAGACGCCAACCATGGCACTGTAGTTGCTGCAGAAAATAAGAGGCATTAAGTAGGAACAGTTTTCACAACAATTTCCACAATAAAACATTTTTTTAAAAACTGGAACGGCGGCTGTAAAGTTTTGGATCTCCCATCACTTTCCCTAACGGGGACAATGGACACCAGGGCAACTAAAGAGGGTGATTATCCTCTGTATGGCCGTGTTTTCATTTACACTTACTCTCAATAAAAAGTGTTGTATTTCGAGAGAATCTTGCCATGTTGGCAACATTTATTCAAGTCAAATGGAAAGATGATTTTTGGTGTTTTTAAAGTGGGATGGGCCTTGAATGAGCTTTAAATGGCCCATGAAGGTTAAGGAAGTTTCTTTCAACTATCCTGGACCTGTTCTTTGCCAGCAAATGGCCCCTCATTAGGTTTGTTTGAATGTTTTTTTCACAAAAAGAAAATAACGAACAGCGAAAAACGTAAAATAAAAAAAGTAAAGTGAAAGCATTCAAATAACAATCAAAAACACACACTTAAGGTAAAATCACAAATAAAAAAGGTGTTCAGTTATAAAGGTGTTGCAATTTGCATGGTACTAGCTCCCTTAGATGGCACTCTTATACTAGTCAGCGCCATCCCGGGGTGCTAGTGCCTTGCAAACAGCCTCCACCCTGCCATACGCCGGGTGGAACTTTTATAAATGAAACCCTAAATTAAATAAACCCAACTACTCTAATGAAAATCCCTTCCAAATGAAAACAAAAGAGAAGATTATTTTTTTCAAACGTATTGCACCTAAGCAACTTAATGAGTCAAACTGGGAGCTTCTGCTGCAGCAAAAATGGTAATTTCGACCCAAAATTAATTTAGCTAAATCTCATAGACATAGATAGCAACAAACTCCGTCCATAGTTAAAACAAAAAGTTCTAGCTAGGGATTCACGTTAGCATTGCTGCTTCACATAAAGGTTTTCTGCAAATTGCAATGTATAGTTATCATTTATATGCAGCGTTTACCAGACTGAAGGCTGCTTGATAAAATCAAGACACTACTAGATGGTCCTGTTTCTGTTTAGAGACACTGGCCCTTTAAATATTTGGTTCCCAGATGTGCGGCTTAGTCATAAAACATGTTAATGTGACAAGAAAGAAATGCTCACTCATAACAGATCTTACTACACAGCAGAATTTGCAAAAGGCCCATTACATATTATCATAGCTCAGAAAATGAAGGTTTTATGGAAAGAGAGAGGTATTTAGAAGACTCTAGAGGACGTGAGCTTTACCATAATATATGTTGGTGCTGAATTATTTGACCTTGAGGAATTCTTCTCTATGCTATATAGATTGTGGAGAAGCTTGTTTAGACATATGAATACCCCCTTTTAACATGAATGTCTAGTTTTGTTGAAATAAAAATGCTTACCAGATCAATACACACTTCAGGAATTTTAAAGTATGCAAAGCCTAACAATGAACTTATCTTACTTGCTTCCTTTTGGTCTGCCCTTTAGTCATTTTATACCTGTTTATAAAAATAACCGTTTTTAACCTGCCAGAAATCCAGTAGTGTTATCTTAAGAAATGTTATAAGTCCTGCCCAGTCCACCTCTAGGAAGTATAGAAGTATGTTATAGAGATGAAGAGAGAGGGGCGTGTGCTGTAGTCCTAACACACCTCCTGTCCTAGGGTGACAACACTGCTTTTCCATAGGTACAGTACAGTGAGTGGCTGTTGCCCCCCTAGGGAAGGAAGTGAATTATTGGCAGGATCACTAAGTGAAAATAAAGGGGAAAAAGCTTGATAATAGAACCCTAATGCACCACATCTAAGTACTGGAAAGCTGCCATATACAGTAAACTCCCAGTTGTCCGGCACCCATGGGATTGGTAGATGCCGGATAACTCTATTTTCTGGCAGCTTGAGAGTCACTATTAACTCTCAAGCAACAACCCCCCCCCCCCTTCCCCGCCCCATTTATCTGCTGGCTAGATTTTGCTATTGGCTATTTCACACGCCCACTGAGCGTTGTTTACATTAACATGCACGCTGAGGACTCTAACCGCCGACCGCACCAAGATGTAATCAGAGAATTTTGTTAGCAACTAAATACATTTAGTTGTTAACATCGCTAACAAAAATTCTTTAGTGCGCACGTCTATTAAGCAATTGGAAAAAAAAAATTAGGACATATGGTCTCGATTTATTTTTTCTGGTTGCTTGAGAGTTCTGATTGCTTGAATGCAGGATAATGGGGAGTTTACTGTATTACAATGTTGTTCTTGGGATTAGATATGCTTTAGGAACTGTGTCCATGGGCTTTTGTTCTCTTTAGAAACTGCTTGTCTCCCTGAACAAGTGTATAGGAATACAAAAGCAGCTGAAGCAGCGCAATTCCACGTCAACTGAATGATCTCAGAATCATCTCAAACTAATGTCAAAAGCAAGATAAATTGCCTTTAGAAGCCTGTTGACACAGACCTGTGAGGTGGCCACTCACATTACATAGTCTATATTCCTTCAAAAGAGCATGGAGTACAATTATGGCGTCTACTTATAGGATAATGATACTGAGAGTTTACCATGAAGCCTATATTTCACCACACATATCCTACCTCATGAGGCTCAGCCACTCTTCTAAGTGTCTTCAATTCAGTCATGACTTATATCATGACTTTTGGGCCTGCTCATAGATAAAGTACTTCTAGAAAAATGTTGCACATTATGCTGTTATTAACTTGGCGACTTATCTCTGACATGGGCAATCTGTGGTATCTTGGATTTGCATGGCGGTAAAATTACAGCTAGCCGCAGAAAATTGTGTCAATTATATTGTACACCGATCCTACACACGTGCATATATAACGCATCGCTTTCCCTAGCTCTTTTCTTGGATAAACTAATATTTGTATTCCAAATAGATTGGACTGAGACATCTCTATGCAACGAAACACAGACTCAGAACATTTTCAAGTCTAGTTGTTAAGTGACACTTTGCAAACTTTAACAAAGCAAAAGCCTTGCCTTGACTCCCTGGTGCACTTCCAGGATGTTTTCTAATAACCCCCAATCCACCTCTAATTGCTCCTGGAGTCCTTTTTTCCGAGCCCCCCTCTCATTTTTGATCCCAAGCTGCTGGTAAGCTGACACTGAACGTGTTTTCTATCTTTTTGTTCTGTATAATTCATATATAGTTCAGTGAAGTGTTTTTTTGCAATTTAAATTTAAATTGGAACTATGCCCTCCTATCCTTTCCAGCCACGAAGTTTTGGGGCCACACAGGGTCCCTTCCTCAAGGTGTCACTGTGTCGCTCCGGAGGAAGGGACCCTGCCTGAACCCAAAACGTCAGCTGTATGACCTATGTGATGCACTTGTAATAAATTTGAACACGTTTGCATCCTGAATACCTGAGTGCTGGTGACTTATCTTTCATTTACATTTGATCAGCTATGACACCCGCCATTTGAGGGCTTAAATGAGCACATTAGCAATATAGGCAGTTGGCATGCCTTAAAAAGTAACTGCTTTGGGGGACATCAAATCGGTGGGTAAAGTTCCTCTTTAAGAAAAAATAAAAATGTAAACAGTGCAAAGCCTTGTAACAAGGTGTCGCCCCGCCCCTACACACCGCACATCAGCGTGCTTGCATTATATAGAGCATAACGTGCACGGGCTGGTGTAAAAGGGCGTGTTACTGCACAAAAGCAAGCATCAAGGCATGTTAGTGAAAACATGAAAAAATGAAGTGGATTGAAGGCAAATATGACTGAGACAGATGTGAACAAGCCCATGCATGGATACTACTAAAGACCAAATGGACCTATTTCAAACCACACGACCACTCCAAACACACAGATGACATCGCAAAGCAATTTAATTACGGCACTATGTTTTACAAGTTTGTTTTAACATAAAATGTCACAATAAACGCTGTAGCCAGTTCTGTTCATAATTGCTTTAATATAACAGTTTTTACATCTAGAGTGGTAAAGTTGGTACAGTAATTTGTTTTGTCGGTCATGGTCACAGTCAATGTATAAACCGCCAATTAAACGCAGAGCTAAAACAAACAGCCATTCTCAAGGAATACAATCTACAAGAATGTATTCATCTCCCAGCCTGTGGCTTCTCCATCTGCTCCTTGTAAATAGCATCTGTCTTTCATACGAAACGGTTTTCACAGCTGATAGGCCAGAGCCAAGCTTCCATCGCTGCCGAGCGTACAGAAAAATGCGCGTTGACATCTCTTAGTTACACTCATTGAAATGGCTGTTCTTACCGATAGAGACTGCACTGAGCAACTCCTGGATTTCCTCTCCAGGAACTCAACTGGTGATGTGTTCTTTATATCACACCAGTTATATGGAGTTGTGAGTGTGGTGCGGGTAATTATATCACTACATTAATATGGTTTCTAATTATAATTTCTAATTATATATGTTCATTGGGGTAGTTAGGTTTGCTCATTATAATGTATACAGTTCTTCCTGCAATGTAGTAATTTACTGCTCCTTGCTTGAAGTACATAATGCATGAGAACCTTCATGTTAACGTTAACCTATTTTTATATCATGTTCTCCAATACTTCAAGTGTATGTAGACCCCAACAATTAGCGTATTTACTCCCTTTTAGTCTTCATTATACAGGTGAAACTCGAATAATTAGAATATCGTGCAAAGTTCATCTATTTCACTAATGCAACTTAAAAAGTGAAACTAATATATGAGATAGACTCATTACATGCAAAGCAAGATAGTTCAAGCCGTGATTTGTCATAATTGTGATGATTATGGCTTACAGCTCATGAAAACCCCACAAACCCCAAATCCACAACCTCAAAAAAGTAGATTATTACATGCAATCAATAAAACAAGCATTGTACATAGAACAATATCGGACCTCTGAAAAGTACAAGCATGCATATGTACTCAGTACTTGGTTTGGGCCCCTTTTGCAGCAATTACTGCAATTACTTTTGCATGATATTCTAATTATTCGAGTTTCACCTGTATACCATTGTAAGCATTTTGATATATCTGTTAAGTGCAAAAAATACCTATTGATCCTGCTAGAAGTCTTACCAGATTATAACTTCCTTTGTTCTGTCTGTGCTGCACACCAGCTCTCTCTGTGGACCACAGAACACCCTCACTATGTCATAGAGAAGAGGATAAGGGGGTGTTCTGTAGTGCTTCCTAGGGTGACAATGCTGCTCCTTTATGGATGCACTACAGTGAATGAATATTGTCACCCTAGATCAGGAAGTGTGTTACTGGTAGGATCGCCAAGTAAATATGAAGGGAAAAAAAGGAAACTAATTTAACCACTACACCTAAGGACTGGAAGGCGGCAAGATATTACATTTTAAAGCTTGGGTTTTGTTGTCCTTTAACAGCTCCCTAGAACTGGAACCAAAGGACAGCTTTCTAATGAAAAAAGAGGGAGCTTTTTGGAAAAAAAAGTTCTGTTGCTGTATATTGTGGTGTATTACAAATGTATTCATGCTGACTTGTTACGCTATTGCTCTGCATAGGCAAAGCACAGGTTCACTTTAACGCTCCTCAGATGGGATTCTGTCTGTAAAGGGTTACTTCCTACTTGAGGGGAGATGAAAGCGGAATCCCAGCAAACAGCTTCTCGGGGACCCGTCTTCTGATTCTTCCCTGTTATTTAGGCTCCACGCAGTTGCCATGGAGATGGCCTAATGGATGGATTATAGATTTATTTATAAATGGTATTAATTGGATTGCGGAATTGAAATGGAAATGAGAGCCTGCACGTCCAGGCGAGGTACCACTCTTCCTTCATCTTCATATGAAGCAGCCGCCATCCAGTTACAGCTGAGGGACTTTCTGTCAGAAGTATTGTCATGCAGAACAATGGGCCTGAGCACTCGTTTGATCTATAACCTTTTCATCTTAATGTCTTTTTCTCTACCCGGTTCTGTCTCTCTGCTTCCCAAACTTATAAAGCCAAGACATACTGGTGTTAAAGGGACAGCAGGTAAAAAACACAATATCTGCCTACATTCTTGAAAGGAAGTCCACCCCAAATTTCACTTTTATATTGATGCTGAAAAATTGAAGTTGATTTATCATCTATATTAAAGTTTTCCCTGAAAAAAGTCAGTCATCACCAGTTTAGATAATCTGAAACACTAAACTCAGGAGTTAAATCTTTAAAATGTTTTCAAGTACCTTAACTATTAGCAAAAATGTATCTTATATGTGTAAATCACAGCTGTAGATCCTAAGATCATTTCTGAATTGCTGCAGATACTGTCCTTCCTTCTGGAGGGTGGCTACTTTTGTTTCCCATGGTCCATTGATGGACTACAATCTGAATACAAATGAGTAAACTAAACATGAGATTATAATCCATCACAGGAGCAAGCTTGGAGCGGTGGCTACTTTACAACACACACAGGGACCATGGGGAACAAAAGTAGCCTCCCTCCAGAAGGAAGGACAGTGTCAGCACCAATTCAGAGATGATTTGAGGCTCTACAGCCGAGTGATACACAAATAAGATACATTTTTGTTAATAGTTAATTACATTTTAAGATTTAAGAGTTTAGTGTCACTTTAAGTAGTTCTAAAAGTGGAGTTATTTCTTCAGTAATAGCTGTTTGTTCTGTTATTCATTTGCATTTTCTCCCTGTCACAGCAGAAAAGTCAACCCAGTGTGAGGGTTGACTTACATGGAGGCTACATGGTTTCTTACTTGAACTCAGGGCTGAGGCTGCTGTTGTTAAAGTGTATGTTAACCCTAAAATATGTAAACTGCTGAAGGTGAGTAGCTCAATATAGGCTCTGCTGCTTCCCGGGTGCTGGTACGGCTTGCTGCACTCTGTCATATCAGTTAGAAATTGAAGTGAATCACTACAATCCGGGCTGCAGCAGATTTTCTTTCTTACTGAATAGTAGCAGAGGGCACCTCTGACATGCTTCGCGCTAAAAAGTGCTTTTTCTTTTTTACCACAAAACATGACAGATGTGATCCCTGTTACTATTCACTAAAAAATAAAAATTGCTTCAGCCCAGAATATGGGGATACATTTCCTTTCCTGACAGCATGTAAACTAAAAAAATGAACATCTCCTATTTGCTCCCATTTGGTCTGTAAAATATACAATTAAAGTCTCTTTGTTACATCTATTATATAAGTGCAAAAATAAGTGTAAATACATTCTGATCTTGCCAGAAAAATTGTGAGCTAATAACTTCCTGGGCTCTCTGTCTTTGTTGCACACTTATCATTGTTCCCAGGTATCTCTGTGGACTACAGAACACCTTTCCCCTGGAGAAGAGGAGAGTAAAACACTTCCTGTCCTAGGATGACAACACTGTTGTTGTATGCCGTGTCACTCAAGGATAGGAAGTGTGTTCCTGTCACAAAGAAAATAAATGCAGCCACCACATTTAAAGACTGGTAAGCTGCAATATATTACATTTTTGTTCTTAGGTGTTTAGATACACTTTAGCAAAACTTTGAGTTGCATTTCATGCACTTCTGACAGCTTCTTTGAGAGACAAGGCTGCACTATTTTAATAGTTCCAGAGCAGAGATTCAGATTTTTACAGCTGCAGTGGTGACTGGTTCGTCATCCATCTATATAAGGAGAACAAGAGATCCAGGGAAGTCAAGAATACTCACCTTTCTCCATTCTCTATGTTAATTATTAATGACATCGGGGAGGGTGTTAACAGCGATATTTCCGTGTTTGCGGATGACACCAAAATTGGGAGGGTAATAGACACGGACTTAGACATTATAACATTACAGGAGGACCTGGATAAAATAGGGGAGTGGGCATTAATGTGGCAGATGAGGTTTAATGTCGATAAATGCAAAGTAATGCACTTTGGAATTAAAAATAAACAAATGGGTTATACAATTATGGGTATGCCGCTAGGGAAGTCAGAAATGGAGAAGGATTTGGGGGTCATTGTAGACCACAAACTGAAAGGTAGTTTGCAGTGCCAGGCTGCTGTAAACAAAGCTAGCAGGGTCTTGTCCTGTATTAAAAAGGGGATGTATTGCAGGGACAAGTCTATAATTTTGCCACTTTATAGATCATTGGTTCGACCTCATCTGGAGTACGTGGTCCAGTTCTGGTCACCAGTACTAAGAAAAGATGTCCTTGAGTTGGAAAAAGTCCAGCGGAGGGCAACCAAACTAATTAGGGGTATGGAGGACCAGAGCTACGAGACAAGGCTACTAAATTTAAACATGTTCACATTGGAGGTGAGGAGATTGAGGGGGGATATGATCTCCATGTACAAAATGTTCAATGGTGGCAGCAACATTAGCGATAAACTGTTTAAAATTAACTCCATTACAAAAACTAGAGGCCACCACCTAAAATTGGTGGAAAAAAAATTCCAGCACAAGGGGCGAAGGGGGTTCTTCACAGTAAGATCAGTTAGGGTCTGGAACTCACTGCCACAGACAGTGATTTCAGCAAAGAATGTGGAATTGTTCAAGAAACTTTTGGACGATTTCTTAAGGGACCGTAATATACAGGGGTACAGGTACTCCTAGAATGAGATCCTAATAGGTTGGACTTGATGGACTAATGTCTTTATTCAACCTCAAATACTATGTAACTATGTAACTATGTAATTAAAGCCATGTGATCAATGCTGGAGAACTGGTGACATAATTGTTGCTCATAATATGGATTGGATTTCATATATAACTGAGTGGCTGTTCTGGCTGCATATCATAACCCTTTAGATGAGGTAAAGTGCCTAATACTATGGTTTCAGTCAGACAACATATGACCAATGCTATGATTTCAGTCTGAAGTGATGTAGACAGCAGTGCTGGCGTAATTACGTCAGTGACCTTCTGGCATCACTGCACTGTGATGCAGGGCACTGTAGTAACACCACCTCAGAGGACAGTGTCTATGACCCCCTGCACTCACAGGATGTCCACAGTATTCCAGGTTGAGTGACCCTGTGTATTAGTCAACCCAGAAAGATGAGGGCATTTAGTGTTGAAAAGGAATTACTGCAGGGGACAGTGCCGGAGAGGAGGTGAGTACTGCAGCCAGAGTTGCTTCTTTTTTTTTAAACCTCCTGGGTAACATTTTGTAAAAACCAATAAGTTAGCCTGGAGTTGGGTTTTATAAAGAACATATGCTGTCTCTGTATATTGTAGTGCTAACTCTGCCCGTCACTGGAAGCACCTAAACTCAATATTATGGCAGGATGTTCACATACTTTTGACCATATAGTGTGCTTAAAAATGACAGTGACCCTGTCCTGCTTTACTTACTTGTGCATATATCCATCTGAGCCCAGGGTGAGGTTCATATGCATGACGCTGTGGAACTCCGTCTCATTGCAGCAGTATTTGAAGACAGTGTTGTTATGGTGGCAGCACAGGATGTACGACTTGTTGTCTGAAAGGCGCGGGCAGTGGAACCCGAAGTGATATCGCCCTTTATGGTCTGTATAGGGCTCACAGACGCGAAAATGAGAAGAGGAGGCTGCGGGAGATAAAAATGTATTTAATAACATTTAAAAAAATATGCATGGCCAACATTATATTAAATTAGATGTCAATTATATTTATATTTATGCACAGCCCAGCCCACACTATGAGTAGAATCATGGTGCCAACTGATCTTTTTATGAAAGTTTATTTGAATGGAAAATGCATTTTTGTAGCCAAGCAGTGTCCAATAGGAGAACTGTCAGGATTCCACCCAATACTTGTAAACAAAGGTCATAATGGTGAACTTTTTTAGATTCATCAATCCCACTCTGATGCCAGAATGCCTGGATTGCCTTTCCCATAGTCCCATGCCTTTCCCAAATATTTTGGTGAATGGGGAAAAGGGGGGGGCCCCAGGGGGGGGGGGGGGGGGGGGGGTGCAGTATAAAAGCTGGAAGAGGACACCGAATTTTTGAAGATTTGCACTTATCATTACAACTGACAATTACCAATATTAAGAACTTGCCAGTCACAGGTAAACTATGAGCATCTAAGCAATGATGAACACAATCCTATCCTTACTATGGGTTCAGGATAGGCACTTGGCTGTCCCAGGAATTCACTTCAGGGCATAAACTATAAGCCACAGAACAACCACTGGCATACTTGCACAATATGGAAAAGCCCGTCCTCACCCAGCAGACTCAAAGTTCTACTTTATTATGCATAAACATGTACACCCCTTCAAACTTGCCATGCATCCATTAGTCAAGGCACCTTTTCAATAAGGTTCCAGGCAGAGACTGTGTGAATATCTTCCTGGGAAGGAATTAGCTCTGTACCAACTACATATATGTATATTTTGTTGAAAATTTGACTGTAATTTGACATGCCTGCTGCTTTTTTTATTTAATTGCTGTTATCATTTTACAGTTATATGATTTTATTATTGCTTGAAGTAGCCCTTGTACTTCTTGGGTCTTATAGTGGCACGGTCCTCTTATCATATTACACGGGCAACTATCCCTGATTACCAGCAACATGTACAGTGCAGAGAAAGAACCCATAAACTCTACACTGTGTTCTGCAAAGATAATGCACAAAATGATCCATATGTTCATCCAGATTTTACACAGGCGGTGAGCACGTGTCTGTAACACTGGCGAACATCCAAGGGAGATATCTGGCCTGAGTTCCAGCTCACACATCCTGTCTGTGGATGTTTGATGCGGTCACATCAGTAGATCAACTCCCAGTAGCATATTGGTCACAGACCATACAAAGTCATTGTAATAAGAGACACATTGGGATGCCTCTAGAAAGCTGCATACAGTAGCGGTGGCCAATGTGCTGATTAGACATATAAATTGCCTAAAGTTTCATTAAAGGGTCAGTCCATTCAAAAGTGATATGCAAGTTATAGGTTTAGGATGACTTCTTATGGTTCTTGGATACTTCAACAGTGAGAACTCCCCTCTGTAACTCCTGACTACCTGGGAGTTTTGAGTATTCTCACCCACCTTTGTGTGTTCTGTTGCCTTCTATTTCATTTTGCACCCCTCATAATGGCCACAGCAGGTGTGTAGATCCAGGCACTCAAGACACAGATCTTACCAGTACAGTCCACAAGAGGTCGAAAAAAAATGTTGGGTGGTTTAATTCTGCAACATCTACCAAGAAATTAAACTATACGTTTATTGTTGTTTGATCCTTTAAAGACTATATGACACACACAAAAAAAGAAAAATATATCAGCTAACCTGTCCTTACATGTAGTGGCTGCTAGGTATGATCTTCAAGTGGAACATGAGCAATGCACTAAACAACTAGCAGGGGGATTTGTCATTTAGCGCTAGCATGCCTAGGTAATGGTCTGGTGTGAATTTTAAGGGGACCCCCACACATTTTTAAAGGGTGTAATTCTCAGTACCTGTTCTTATTCTGTATGTATGGACTTTGCACAGTACCACTTCTCTTGTCCTGTATGCTGGGTGTAATTCTCAGTGTCTGTTCTTATTCTGTATTTATATTCTGTAAAATATCATATTTGATTCACCATGCCATTTTTACATCTCTACTCTTAAATCGTTTATATCCATTTTGTCCCCATAAATACAATTGAATAGATGCTGAGAACCACATTCACATCCATTTCCTGTATGCCTTTATCTGCCTTCCTAATGTCTCCCATTGGAGTCACACATGTAGAAGCACTGTACTCAGAAACTAGTACACTAGTACACTGTTGTTTCACTAGTCCCTCATAGCTCCACCTTTCCTCTGTAATGTCCTGCCCACTTCCCCACCCACCTCTCTACTTTATCAGCCTCTTCTGCAGCCTGGAGCCCAGCTGCATGTGACATTTGTTGCAAGGCATTATGGGAGATGATCTGGACTGGGATGACCAGGAGCACAAAAAACAGCAGGACCTGCTACTCAGAAAAAGCTGGACTATGCAGTGTTTTTGGAACATAATAAAGAAAAGCCTTTTTATTTATTCACAATGCTTGTTCTATGATTACATCCCAGGTGTAATCAACAAGTGCGCCATCGCCCATATGAACCTAATCTAGAAACAGCCGCACTCCAAAGGTCTTCACTGAATATAAAAATCTTTATTTATGGAGCAAATACTAATGTTTGTTTCTCGCTGAGTGTACTCAAATCTAACGCGTTTTACCATTCCGGCTTATTAATAGAGAACACTATGAGTAAACTGGATTGGTGAAACGCGTTTAAAGGTTGGAGGAACAAACAGTATGTATTCTTCAGTGAAGACCTTTGGAGTGCGGCTATTTCTAGATTGAACTACATTTTACTGGTCTGTAAATTCACATGTAGCTTTAAGGTATCCCTCAAGCATTTTATTTAAAGGATTTGTGTATGTTTAATTTTGCCTGGTAAGCCACATTAAAAGACCTTCTCCCTGCTGAGCAATATTCTTTAAAATATTTTATTTTTTTGCATTCCACATGTCCCCCATGGCAATGCCCAACTACGCATGCACCTTTTTAAAGAATACCATGGAAAAAGGAAAGAAAATAAAGCAAAATTCAGCTCCCATAGACCGCAATACATTTCAGCACTATGACTTCCCGCTGAGTTTGCCGAACCTCACGCCTGGTGGCAGCAATATTTTCCTTTCCTCACACTGAGAACATCTTTAACAAGTACAGAAAATACCTGTTGTTTTTGCCAGAAATGTTCTGTCCTTGTAACTATGTGAGCTCAGTAAGGCAGCATAAACAGGTTTTTTTTGTGAACTCTTTTGTAAACTTCTAGTCCTATCAATCCAATGAAGAAGAACAATTGCAGCCATGTTTGAAGTCCAGGATTGGTAACAGCTAGGGATTGTCAGATACCAGTGCCGATATTTGGCACTTGTGGCGTCATGTGATGTCATGTAAAACAAATGACAAACGCACTAAACAATTTGTCACCAACTATACAGTAAGGTGCACACAAAATGGGCTTCAAACAGTAGACAGTAGAAAGGCATCATGGCACACTCATGATGGGCTTCCTCGTGACAAACCTGCACCCAATTTGAAATCTTCTGCCCCCATGTGCTCCAAGATGGAGACTCTCATAGTTTAGAGTTAGGACCGCACTATAAGAGGTGCCTTGGCGCGGCTGTGCGGCTTTCACATTTTCTGCAGAAGACGTGTATCCAAACCTCTGTTATTAATCTTAGTGGTGAGACAAGTTTTTTTACATGCTGACTTGTGAGTGTGCCATGATGCCTTTCTACTGTCTAATGTGATGTCATGTGCCTCCAGGATGTGTTTTATGTGTTTTTATTATTATTTTTTATTTATAATTATTATTTTTTTGTTTATTTTTTTGATTGAATTTTTTTTTTTTTTTTTTTTACTGTTGGGGGGTTTTGGGGAAATATTAGGGCTCTAAACAGACCCCTGATATTTCCCTTTTGAAATGGAAAAATACATCGAGGACACAGAGCCCTCAATCTCTTTTTCTGCAGACTCTATTCTAAATGAATGGCACGTACAGAGGCTTCCCATTTATTCCGAAAATATTTTCTATCAACCAGTTTCTGAATGGGGAGGAGCCTCTGTACAGAGTGCTCCTCCCCATTCAGAAACTCATGAATGAACAGGAACTGATGTAAAGCACTTCCTGTGCATTCATTACTGGGGAAACATAGTACTATGGATCCCCAGTTATTTACACTGGAGTTATTTAATGTGATCGCTCCAGTATTTGCACTGCACACAGACAATCGGTACATATCACTGATATGTAACGATACGCCGCCGCTCGGCCATGCACGGGCGACACATCCTGCAGCTTTTTCTCTGGTTTCCCGCTGCTCTCTGGATCCAGAGGAGAAGCTGCAGGCTGTGCCCAACTTCTCAGTGCCATGCTGAGCCCTGGCTGCGCCCGAGGCGAGAGCCTCAGTCGCCTCGCTACAGCTCTGGGTATCTGTGAGTACTTGGACAAGTATCAGTAGGTGAATTTGTAGGTAGGTGCAGTATGGCCAATGGCCACTAGATGCCCCCCATGGGGCCCTTGAGATAGATGTAGCTCTGGCCTGGGGGGACTCTGTGTCCCAAGAGAGCTGATTTATAGGGGGCGCCTGAGAGGAGAAAGGAGGAGAGAGTACAGGAGAGCAGAAGTCTAAGACTGTATGCAGAGTCTCTGGAGAGAGACTGATTCTAAAACATAGCAAGCGATTAGGGTTGTTTTCCTCCTGGAGATATCAAGCTCTAGGTATTCCCCTTTTAGAAGGTCAGTCTACCACATCGGTAACCAGCAGCAGGCATAAACAACAAATATGTGTTCGGGCTAGCTACATAGTGTAGACAGTCCAGGGGTTAACTAAAGATGGGGACTTGACCAAATTTAAAGTATTTGAAGAAAAATTATTTTAATTTCGTACAAAAAAGACAGCCAATACATAAAAAACAGTGTAAACAACATGTACTGACTGTTATGCATAAATGGTTAAATCGGATATTCAGACCTTGTTTCTATACACATATATGTCAAGATCGCATCAAAAGCAATTTTTCAATTGGGTTCCGTATA